ATGTGAAAAACTTTGGTCTTTAAGGAACAAGGGAGCGACTCAGACCAACCCAGTGACAGTGATGAAAATGAGAGTCATGACAATGACGAAGAAGACTGTGTGTGTTGCAACCATTTGCGGGGCTTTCATATGCTTATTTCTCTGTTTAAGGATGAGAAATCTTAACAGTTAATAAACTGTTAAGACGACGTGTGGTTTTTAGTGAATAATTTATATCCATGCCTGGTTGAAGCATTGAAATTTTGAAACCCTTACTATAGAGTTTGTGCTAAAAGAGAAACCATAGTTAGATCATTGTTGCAGATATATATATTTTTTCATTATAATTTTTTTAATTGACTTTAATTATTTTGTATTATTATATATTCAAGATTTTTATGAACAAAAAAAAATTTTTTATCGAGGATTTCATGAGGTGAAAAACATTGGATAGAACCAAAGAATGGTAAGCCACAAACAAGCGTGAGAAAGTGGGAGAAAAGTGAAAGAAAAGTTATAAAAGAAACTCAAAAAACCGCTCAAATCTTTTTTTTTTAATTAAAAAAAGAAAAAATAATAGAATTATAAAAAAAAGTTCTTATTGTTTTTACCCTAAAAAAATTAACTGAAAATTTAAAGTTGTTACTCTCTTTGGGAAGAGAAATAAAATGCAAAATTTTATGTGAGAAAAAAATAATTTCAAGATGTTATGTGAGAAAATATCATTCCACAAGGAGTGATTGTGAAATTTACTCAAAAAATAATTATGTATAGTAATTGAGACTAATATAATATAATTACTGAATGTTTTGTTTTTTCATATTTTTCTTGTTTCCATCCAACCAAATGAATTATGAACCAAACATCTGATTCCAGAGCAGAAGATAAAGGCTGTTACATAGTGTTTAAGAATTCCCGTGGGTTCAAATGTTAGCCCAGTTGAGACCAGGAAAACTGGATACAGGGTGGTTCTTCTGTGCTAGTCTATTAAGATTAGAGAACTAGGAAATGTAAAATGGTAAACAAAAATATCTGAGGACTGGTTTCTAGATACATATATAAACCTGTTTATGCATGTAGATTGGTACATTTGGTGTTCAAGAGCATTTAGAGATACAAATACTACTAATAAATATGGATATCGATTTTAACTAATTTCTACGTACTGCAGTGAGTTCTTGTTATTTTGGCCAAAGGACGGCTAGGAAAAGCGAGAGAGCAGCCTACTGCTGGAGGAAATGGCCGGGGGAAAGAGCAGAGAAATTATTCTTGAGTTCGATCACTTTGTCCGAACTGACGCTTCCTCCCTTGAGAAAATGGGAATACCAATATTTAGAAAGCTTAGGTTGTCTCTTCAAATCAGGATCATCCAAATCTACATAATAAAAGCCAAAACTTGATCGATAACCATCCAGTATCTCCAGCACATCTAGGAAGGACCATGAGAAGTACCCTCTTGTATCCGATCCATTCCTTTGAAATTTTTTATAAGAAGAAGAAGGAAAGATATGTTAAAGAGTTGATCACCTTCCAAAATCTGCAAAGAATGATTCAAATATATATCTCATTCAAATGGCTGTTGGCTAGAGGTTGGTCAAAACAAGTGTACCTTACTGCATCCAGCACACTCCCAATATATGCCTGCAGATATTCCACTCTCGATGTGTCTTCCAAGGTTGAATTGCGCTGGGTTCTCTGACCTGACAAACCCCATGCCATGTTCACCAATTAGATGAAAAGACAGGACCAATGAGATATATATCGTTTGAATATTCCCATCCCAACTCTTTGGATTCTAATACATATATATCCCTTGAGGCCTACTAGTTTTGGAGCTGAGTAGCATCAGTTTTGAATAGCTACTAAACAGTAGATATATACAACTGGATACGATCCGCATGACTTAATTGCTTCAGCTATCGTCTGCTCAATGCCCATTTACCATCTTCTGGAGAATGTTTATTCAGTCATTTCAGAAGGTTAAGCAGTTAAATTTAGTTTCTCAATTTATTACTTTCCCTTAACAATGTCAAAATACTTGTTTGAACATAATGTCATTTTTGTAGTCTTTCAAATTGAGAGTTACTTACTATATAGGAGCCCTTTTGTTTCATTCAAAACTCAACAAGCATCTGCATAACAGCATTAGTACAACACTAAAGAACACCACTTCTTAGCTTAGATGTGACGGATGTAATTCCCAGGAAATGCAGCTTTTAATTGCTGCAAGCTGCAACTTAATCTACTATATCTTCATTGTCCTTTTTTCACATGAAATAGCTAGATGATTTGCATGTTTTTCTTGCTTACTTAATAGATATGTGGCAATTGCTTTGTTTCTAGTTTTACTTGTATTTCCGGCGATAATTTTATGACATCAAGTTTTCAATCAAGAAACCTTGGCCAGAAACACTATCATCATAAAACAAATAATTCATGAGTTTTTGAAGTTATGTTTCATAAACATAATGCAGCAAACAATGATGATCGTAATATGGTTTTCACTTCAATAAAGGGAAGGATTAATATCCAATTCAAAAAAGAGCAACTACGCAGAATGAATACGAGTTTGTGTGTGTGTGTGTGTGTGAGAGAGAGAGAGAGAGAGACAGAGAAATACCATTTTCAAGAATGTAAAGAGGAGGATTGTCGTAAACTTGCTTAATATACTCCAGCACTACTTGCAGGCCCCAAGGTAATATGGGATACTGAGCAACAAATTAACTGATTATTAATTCAAAGGCCCAAGTGAAACCAAAAAAAAAAAAAAAGAGGCACTTGTAATTAGCAATATGTTGCAACTCACCTCAGAATCCAAGAAAATATCTTCCATGTCTGCCATAAAGAGAATAAATTAGCTTTTACTTCATGGATATTCTCTTGACTCATTGAATCTCGGACTATATATTTAAGCAATTAATCTCAGATATGTACCAAGTGAATCCAATTTAGCAAGGAATATGTAGATGACATACTCTTTATCTTTGCAGCCACATCTATGTTAAAGTCTCTTTGTTTCAGTACCAGAGCACCAGGGTCATCTTCGACATAGCATGTTGTGTAATGTATTACCCCCAAAAAGTCAAACGAACCCCTAACAAGTTCAGATTCATGATTGGTGAAGGTAGGAATTCTGGAGCCAACGATTTCTTTCATTATATCAGGATAATCTCCAAACACCAAGGGATTTGCAATCCTAAAGTACAACATAGGCACTATTAACTAAAGCTGGAATAAATTTCTCAAACCCAATAAAAATCGAAATTAAGAGTATTGAAGGTCATCTAGATATGGTACAAAAACCAATATAAGAAACAGAAATGACAATTTTCAAAATTTGTCCCTCGGACATGCATGCTTTCATAATAACACTTTATATATTGGACTTACCAACCAATGTAGAAGTCATTCAGTCTTTGAGCTGCCATTGCATCCTCTGTTGAGTTTGAATTTGGAATAGCACCAAGTGTATAGATGCTAATACCTATGAATCCATTCTGCTTTTCCTGCATATCATATATTGCTCCTATAAATGCAAAAGATTGGTAAGTTAAAAGGATGATTGATATAAAAAGTTTCGATATTAATACTTGATAATTTCTCTTGTACAATCTTGCAGCTGATGCATGTGCCAACAATATATTGTGAACAACTGTGTATGGCTCAGTTGGGGAGTCGCCTCTAGTACAGTTTATTCCAAAAGGTGTAGAGCAATGCCTAGGAGGAACAATTCCCTGATCATAACCTCCAATGGCAAACACGTTGGGCTCATTCACAGTAGTCCAATATGAAACCCTGTCCCCAAATTCTCTAAAGCACACATTTGCATAAGCTGTGAAGTCTTTACTGCATTGACATTCAGATGATTCAATCACATTCATTGACCTTATTAACCCTTATATACAGCAAATGTAGAATGCAAATTAAAAAAGATAGGATTAAAGAACAATACACAATTTTTCGGTTAATCCATCCTCCATACTCATCTTCAAGTGCCTGTGGGAGATCAGCATTGTTTAAAGTAACATGAGGCTGTATTCCTGCATTGTCAAGTGATATGGATATGATTAGAGTAAAAGAATAATCTAATATTGTCTGGCAAGCATTGTTCAACGTCAAAAATGAAAAAATTTAACTACTGAAGATATTTCGGAAAGTTTGTGCCAACCATGGCTGATTAGTTCATTGATGAGGTTGTTATAATACTGTACACCCTTTGGATTAAGAGGTCCTCTTCCATCTGAAATGTGAAAAAGAACTAGGAATTGATATCCTTCTTTAATTAATATATATAAACCAAAATTTGAAAACCGTACTTGGGATAAGCCTTGACCAGGAGATAGAAAACCTGTAGGCATCTAAGCCCATTTCTGCCATAAGTTTCACATCTTCCTGAAAAAAGGGAATGTTAGCATTATTAGTTAATTACACTGAGACCATCCTAAAACAGAACCCAATTAGTGTAGTTGAAAGTTAGGCAACCAGCAATTAGTTTCATATAAAAATTCTGACATAGCCATTACGGAAAAATGCAATATATATGAGAAAACAATTGGTTTCTTCATTCACAGGCATGTATGGACTCAAAGCTATGTAGGTAAGAGTCATATGAATTAAAAAGCTTATTTTATGCACCTTGTATTTGTGGTATTGATCAACGGCTACATCTCCAGTGGCTCCATCAGCATACCCTGAGATTTTTTTAATGAGAGGTGAAATTTATTGGTTAAATCATTCATTGGATCATTATAAATACATTCCAGACAACTCTTTAAACTCAGATATAGAAGGGATTGGACCTGGGCACCCTCCATGATATGAGGACATGGGTTAAAGCAGAATTATAGTTTTATGGTCGATTACCGATAGTTTGTTTCGTCGACAAGGATTCAAGGACTTGGAGGTGGGGGAAACGATATTGGGCTTGCTCGGTTTCTTTCTTCATTTCATTTTGAGGGCAGCACTTAAGGCTCAATAGGTTATTTATCTCGTTCACGATTTAGGCCCAACTGTGGCTATAAGTCTATTTTAAGTCTATAGAGAATCAACATAAATTTCCAATAAGACCCAAAAAAGAATGGAAACAACGAGCGGGTTGAAGCTCAAATCAATGAGAAAACAAAAGAGGTTTGAATTTTCCGACACCCAACACCATTGACAGAAGTGAGGGTGCGTAATTAATCAAGACGAACACTGCTACTGACTAAGAGAAGAAGCTAACCAGCGTGGGCGAAAGTGTCCCAAATGCTAGGAGTCCTCCCATCTTCGCTTGCTGCTCCCTCCACCTTCCATATTTTATTAAAAACTCGTCAATCTTCATCAATTTGTCTTTTGTCTTTAAGTACAGTATTTTTTTTTGGAATACGGTTTTTGCTCAATGAGTGGCTACCATGTATAAAGCGTAAACATAGACCAACAACCAAACTGACCTGATAAGCGGCGGTGGCAGAACCAAAGACAAAGCCAGGTGGAAAGTCATATCTGCTATACTTATCAGCGCCAAGCACTGCTATAGGCACATGTAGCAAAATTCTAATTAGCAAGAAAATCAGACTCCTCATTTCTGTTTACCTGAGAGTTTACTGCGTCGTCCCAGCTCTTCTTCTTGTCGAGTGAATCGATGTGTTGTCACAACCACAAGAAATGAGGATAATAAATGATATGAAGACAAAATGCAATGGTCTACCGATCTGCATGGATGGCCATGAGTATTCCATTGAGTCTTGACGGTGACAGAACACAATATGACAATAATTAACGGAACTTAGTAGAAGACAAGGACGCGTTCGTGTTATAGGTAGTTTAGAAGCTTAATGAAGAGCCCTTTTGCTTTGATAATCGAAGTCAAAAATGCTTATCAATCGGTTTAATTTCCATGATTGTCTGCGTTTATCACTAAATGAAAGCAAGATGTGGCGATCAATTAACTTCATCCATTTAAATTAAATGTGATATATTTCTTATTTACTTTGTTTGAAATTTTCAAGAGACTAAAGGAGGGTTATGTTGGACAGAACTCCAGAACAGAAGACAAAGGCTGGCGCAAATATAAGAATTAAGCGAGTCTCTTGTCTGCAAACAACTTTGCTAGATTACAACACTTATACA